AGATCCTAGAAGGAAAGTAGAAGAGAAGGGATTACAACATGGTCATCTCCCCAGAGGGCAATTTCTCACTTTCCTTCTCACTGTTTGTCTCTCTCTCTAGTGAATACACATGCCCTCAGGCAAAAAAAAAAACTCTTAAAATTTAAATCAATAGAAAACTAATAGACTTTACTATATAGAACTGTAAAGATTTTTTTTAAAAAAGAACTGTAAAGATTTAAACACTGAAAACTTTCTCATTTGTTTATTTTTGCTTTTGTTACCTGTGATTTTGGTGTTATACACATAAAAGCAGTGCCAACCTCAATGTCATGAAACCTTTTCCCCTATGTTTTCTATGTCTTCTTCCAGGAATTTTAAAGTTTAAGGTCTTATGTTTAAGTCATTAATCCATTTTGAGTTTTTTGTATACAGGGTAAGATAAGGGCCCAATTTCATTCTTCTGCAAATGGATATTCAGTTTTCCCATCAACATTTATGAGAGTCTGCCTTTTACCCATTATGTATTCTTGGTACCCTCATCAAAAAACAACTTGACTGTGTCTGTTAATTTGTTCTGATTTTCTATTCTGCTCTATTGGTCTATGTTTGTTTTTATGCCAGTATCCTACTGCTTTTATTATCATAGCTTTGCAATATGTTTTAAAAATCAAAATATCTGAATCTTCCAGCTCTGAAATACACACATTTGATTCAGTATATTTATTTCTGGAAAGGTATTCTACAGACAAGTTGCATGCATTTAAATTAAGCTTATTCATGGTAACAATATTTGAAAATAATTTAAATATCTACTGGTTGAATACTGCCCATATAAAATGATGGAATGTTCATTAAATAAATTCTAAAAAAAAAATCTACTATAAAATAAAGAATGAGGAAGATTTCCCTCTACTAATATATAAAAATATCCCAAATATACTACTAATAAAACAAGTTTCATATCTCCTAATATAGTATGTTACCATTCAAATAAAAGAGAAATAAATGAAAACATACAAATGGTGTTTTACTTAAAGAAACTCTGAAATATAGGAAACTAAGGAAAGCTAAAGAGGAAAGGAGAAAGGCAATATGAAAGATAATAGCATACTCTTTAAAATCTAAATGATGTATAGTAATTGAATATATAAACAATAACAATAAAGAAAAATAGTATGAAACTTTTTATTTCTATACCACTTTATTTTGTTTAACTTTTTGTGCCAGAGGGCGTATGTGCATAAGTGAGAGAGAATGCCAAAGAGCGTGCACATGCATGTCCAGAATGTTTTTCAAGCCACTGGGGCTGGGATTCAGCTCTCTCTGAATAGCACTGAACCAGTGCCCTTTGGGACCAACCCTGCTTATTTTTTTAATCTTATGACTATATTAACTTTGAGCAAAATTAAATGAACAATTTTAGTAATTTTTTGAAGAAAGTATGTATTTCATGACAAAGGAAAATCTAAGCACAAAAAGAATTGCATCCACAAGACATTACCAATGACTGTGTGTTGTTCCCTGATTGTATTTTTCTCCCTCCTCCCCAGAGATAATCTCTAAACAAAATGAACCATTCTTCTTCTCTTTATGATATGCTATATAGAGAGATATCTCAAAACACTAATAAACTATTTGTTTTTAAAATACTTTATATGGATGTATCACACTCTATATAGTCTTCTGGAATTTATTAATATGGTGAGTTTCATTCATATTGCTGTGCATAGTTCTCTTCAATTAATTTTCAATTCCTCTATAGTATTCCAATGGATACATTTATCACTGTGCCCAAGGGGACCTCAAACAGTTTGTGGAAAAAACAGAATTAAAGAACAAGTTTATTTTGATGCAAAAATATTTAAGATGTGTACATAGTTTTTTCATAGCATGAATTTCTGTGAATTTTTTGAGGACCCCCTCCTATTTTTCGTTTCAGTGTACTGGGGTGTGTGGGTGTATATGTGTATATGTGTGCAAGTTCATGCTATATTATTACAGACATTTCTGTGCTCACGTGAGAATTTCTGCAGAGTTTATACTTAGAAGTATGGGTCAAATAAACTATGTGCGTCTTCTTTAAATCACAAAATGGCAAATTAGCTCCAAGGTGGTGTTTTTACACGTTAACATTCCTACTATCAATGAATGGGCCTTCCTCCTTTTATATCCTTGCTGTGTTGGTATCCTTAGACTTTGATACTTTTTGCAGATATGATACAGAGTGAAATGGTCCCACACTGTGATTTAATTTTTAGTACTATTGATGTTGCTATTTCTTTCATATATTTGTTACACATTGGTGTTGTTTTCTTTTTCTTTGAAATTCTTGATAGTGTCTTTCCTCCTTTTTATATTGGGTTACTTTCTTTTTCTATTGTCAATAACTCAAAAGAGTTCTTTGGATGTTATAAATGTTAGACTGTTGGCCATGTGTAACCAAGTACTCCATTTTGTCACTTATGTTTTATCTACCTTTTAATGAAACTGTATTTTTAATTTTAATAAAATTTGATATGCTAAAAAAATTAAATAGATTGGGACCAGCTGATGCAGTGGTCATGTCACTGGACTCCCACATGGGCAACCACAATTTGAGTTCCAGACCTGGTGGCTTCAAAAATCACACTGGACACATGTGTGTATGTGCCCAAGATCCTAGAAGGAAAGTAGAAGAGAAGGGATTACAACATGGCCATCTCCCCAGAGGGCAATTTCTCACTTTCCTTCTCACTGTTTGTCTCTCTCTCTAGTGAATACACATGCCCTCAGGCAAAAAAAAAAACTCTTAAAATTTAAATCAATAGAAAACTAATAGACTTTACTATATAGAACTGTAAAGATTTTTTTTAAAAAAGAACTGTAAAGATTTAAACACTGAAAACTTTGTAATTAAGACTCAAAGCCAATTAAAAATAAAAACATTCATCCTTGCAAAAATTTAAAGAAATATAAATTGAACAACAATAAAATTTCTGAGTCACAAGACATTTTAACTTTTTGTAAATTAAGTTGACTTACCAAAAAAGTTGAATAGTACAAAAATATCCTATTATTCCTTAATCCAAATACCCCAAATATTAGCATTATGCCACATTTTTAATCATTTATTTTTCTCAATAAATAAATGGATAAATTGACAAACGGAATTTTTTGATAATGCAAATGGCGAGAACTAGGTCAAAAGACAACAAACTTGGACCAGCAGTTAGCGTAAAGGCTATCTCGCTGGACTCCCACATAGTCGACCGCGGTTCGAGCCCCGGACCCGGTGGCTTAAACTCAACACCGGGCGCATGTGCGTGTGTGCCCAAGATCCCGAGAGGAGAATGGAGGAGAAGGGATTGCGGCGTGACCATCCCTCCTGGGGGGTGATTTTCTGCTTTCTGTCTCTCTCTGTCTGTCTGGCGAGCGCACGCACCCTATAGCAAAAAACCTCTCCAAAAAATAAAAATAAAAAAAGACAACAAACTTGTAGTTAGGTAGAAAGAATAAGTCTAAAGATATACGGTACATCATAAGGACTGCATCCAGTTAGGTTTCTTTATAACTGGTTGTGGGTTATGTGTTTTCATAAAGAATACCATAGTAATGATCTTGGGGACCTCTCAAGTATATCACATCAGGAAGCACATAGCACCAATTTGTCTCACTCCTGGTGATGTAAACTTTGGTCGATGGAGAGGGAGTGGTCTATAAAATTTACTTTTTTCCCTTTGTAATTAATATGACTCTTGTGGAGAAATGCTCTAAGACAACATCAAATCTTATTTTTCATCCAAAAAAAAAGTTCAATGACTGGGTTCTACTCTAACAAAACCATTTCACAGGGTAATTGATTTAGTTTAACTTTCATCAGAGATCTTTATATTTTTTAATACATACATTCACCATAGGAAATGAGTTAAAATCAAATCAAAATATAGTTTAAGAATATTTATAATATTTTTTCAAGAATATTTATCACAGTGTTAGTTTTTTGATAATGCAAATGGCGAGAACTAGGTCAAAAGACAACAAACTTGGACCAGCAGTTAGCGTAAAGGCTATCTCGCTGGACTCCCACATAGTCGACCGCGGTTCGAGCCCCGGACCCGGTGGCTTAAACTCAACACCGGGCGCATGTGCGTGTGTGCCCAAGATCCCGAGAGGAGAATGGAGGAGAAGGGATTGCGGCGTGACCATCCCTCCTGGGGGGTGATTTTCTGCTTTCTGTCTCTCTCTGTCTGTCTGGCGAGCGCACGCACCCTATAGCAAAAAACCTCTCCAAAAAATAAAAATAAAAAAAGACAACAAACTTGTAGTTAGGTAGAAAGAATAAGTCTAAAGATATACGGTACATCATAAGGACTGCATCCAGTTAGGTTTCTTTATAACTGGTTGTGGGTTATGTGTTTTCATAAAGAATACCATAGTAATGATCTTGGGGACCTCTCAAGTATATCACATCAGGAAGCACATAGCACCAATTTGTCTCACTCCTGGTGATGTAAACTTTGGTCGATGGAGAGGGAGTGGTCTATAAAATTTACTTTTTTCCCTTTGTAATTAATATGACTCTTGTGGAGAAATGCTCTAAGACAACATCAAATCTTATTTTTCATCCAAAAAAAAAGTTCAATGACTGGGTTCTACTCTAACAAAACCATTTCACAGGGTAATTGATTTAGTTTAACTTTCATCAGAGATCTTTATATTTTTTAATACATACATTCACCATAGGAAATGAGTTAAAATCAAATCAAAATATAGTTTAAGAATATTTATAATATTTTTTCAAGAATATTTATCACAGTGTTAGAGAGGAAAAATATTAGAAACAATCTTAGCTAGTGATACTACATCTATAAGAAGATTTATCATTTACAAGTGATTAAAATGCAGTATTTAAGGATAGATACCAATTAGAATAACTCTAGAACTAACAAGTTCAGTGAACTTTCTTTCAAGCCATTCTGCCCCTTCAGTTTGAACTCAGCATCATTCCAAACCTAAAGATCAGTATGAAGATTAAACTTCTATTTCTCATCTAGTTTCATTGTCCTGACCCATAGCCTCTTCATGGCCTTCTTCACTTCAGCATTTCTCAGAGAGTAGATGACAGGGTTGAGTAGAGGGGTTATTACTGTATAGAACACAGCCACCATCTTATCTACAGGCAGAGTGGTAGAAGGCCTTAGATAGATGAAGATGCAGGGTCCAAAGAACAAGATAACCACAGTGATGTGTGATCCACAGGTGGAAAGGGCTTTGCGCCGCCCGTCAGAGCTCTTAGTCCTCAGATGGAGCAAGATGACCACATAGGAGGCTAAAAGAACCACAAAGCTGATCACAGACAAGGTGCCCCCATTAGCAACAATCAGCAGACCAGTAAGGAAGGTATCAGAGCAGGCAAGTTTGAGCAGGGGGAGCAGGTCACAGAAGTAGTGGTCAATTACATTGGGGCCACAGAAAGGCAAATGGAAGATGAGAAGGATTTGGGCGAAGGAATGTACAAATCCTCCCACCCATGCGATTCCCACAAGGACAGCACAAACCTGCTGGTTCATGGTGGTTGTATAGTTGAGAGGCTTGCAGATGGCCACGTAGCGGTCATAAGCCATCATGGTGAGCAGGAAAATCTCAGTTCCACCGAAGAAGTGGATGAAGAAAAGCTGTGTCATGCAGCCCCACAAAGATATGGCTTTCCTTTCAGCCAGCAGATCCGAGATGAGTTTCGGGGCTATAGTGGAGGAGTAGCAGATCTCCACAAAGGACAGATAGCTAAGGAAGAAGTACATGGGAGAACCAAGACTTCTGCTGGTCAGGACAGTGAGAACAATGAGGAAATTCCCCAGCACAATTGCTGTGTACAAGAGCAGAAATATCACAAAGCAAACTCTCTGCACCTCTTGATTAGAAGAAAGTCCCAGAAAAATGAATTCAGTCACATTGTGTATGTTAGCCATGAGGTCACCTCAAGAACAATTTGATTGGTATGATATGAAATTATATAAAATAAAAAACTTCTTCATCAAGTAGGCGAATTACATAAAAGCTCTTGCATGTCTGGGAAGCTCGTGAGCTGGATTTTGTAAGATGATTTGGAGTTAGTTATGTGTCGAAGAGCAGAGCATTTTAAGAAGGCAGAGAACATACAAATGCATCATGTGTAGCTGGAATAAAAAAAATAGCAAAAAGTAAAGCTGTAGCTGGAGATTAGTGGTATCTTATAAAGAACTGTTAATTAATTTTGTGGGGTTATCCTGCAGACAACAGGGAATCATGAAAAATGCTCGACTGCAAAGTGAAATCATTTTGTATGAAGATGTTGTACTAGTGGAAACAGAACACAGGAAGAAAATCTACTAGGAAGTTAATGAGTAACCTGGTAGGACAACGTGGAGCAGCCAGGATAGTGTTACTGTTTCCATGTTACATGTCTTTTATTGCCTTTGAATATTTTAGCTTATCTTTTGCCTGTAACTTTTCACCCCAACTCTCCTTGCCCTTTTTCTATCCTTAGTTTGCAGATAGTGTTTTCAAGCCCTATACATACCCATCAGAATCTTCAGAAAAAGAGATGTCCCTGGTACATCTCTCATCACTCAGCAATGCATCTTATTTCTGCTGCTCTTCCTAATTCTCTCCTTCTACATGTGGGTGGTCATTTATTGACCTTGTCCTCTTCCAAGGGTCCAGTTCAACCCATGCGCAATTCTCCTCTTCACTAGTATCTTCATTTCCTCCAATCATATGCCCCCAGTGAGAATATAGTCAATCAACCACTCCCTCCCTGTTCCTACTCATATTCTGACCCATGCTTCTTCATACCCCATGCCCTCAAATGCTCAAGGAATCACTACTAAGAATGCTTACTGACAAATTTTCAGACTGTCCTAGTCCATGGTTGATTTTTGTCCAAGGTGGCTGAGGTTTGTGTATCGACTTCCCTTCACACAGCAAGACCCCGGGGCACCTGAGACTAGGAGCCAGATGACTTCCATTCATACCACAAAACTTCCTGCCTTCAGTGATTGGGACAGGTCCAGGTGCTTGAAGACCATAGCCTGAAGGAAATCACTGATATAACTTACAATTACAGAAGCTAACCAAAGGCAGAGACCAGCCCTAAATTCTCAGACCAACTAGAAAAATTTTCTAAGAAGCCATTCACAGAACAAAGCATTGCTAAGCATTCTGGATTGCTGGTTCACATTCAGGTTTTTCAGGTAGTATCTAGGTGATGCCCACGAAGATCTCTAGCGTCTCAGAGACTCAAGATACAAACCGTAACATGCAGATGATAGTACCTACCTCACAGATAGACACCATAATTCCACTTCCAGCCCCTGTACTGCCTTGGATTCCTCAGAGATAGGGAATCCATTTTCCCATCCATAGGCCTCACGGCTGTGGTCACTGTAGACACGGGATATTTTGGAGTCACAGAACTTACAACACTGAACTATAATTTTTTTACCTGGCCATCTGCCCCCCTGAAGTGTGAGTTTCCTGAGGGCAGAGACTATATCTTACTATAAAATAGAATTTAGTGAATGTGGACAGGATGAGTGAGCACTGGCTATGCACTTTCCCTCTCATTCTTAGTACAATATTTGGTATATTGTAGGTATTCAGTAAATATTGAAAGAACAAAGATTCCTGGGACTAAGACCATGCCTTCTCCATTCCTGAATCTCAGGACCTAGCATTATGCCTCAGGGTAGACCAACACCAGAGAACTTTACAAAATACCATACACTTCATGATACCACACTGCCTATCCTTTCAAAGTTAACCAGTCATGACATGCAAAAGAAGCCCATGGTCACAAAACTCACCTCAGTATTTCTGTGGCTTTGCTGGTCTCACCACAGTTATCTGTTCTGTTCTGACCATGGAGAAGTAAATAAGACCCTGTGAACAGCTGTCAGCACATGCAGGGCTCACAGTTAGCCAATGAGAATAATTAAGGCCAAATTATGAACCAGAACACCTGCCTCACTAGAGTAGAAGGCAGAGAATCTGCTCCCCTGTAGCCTCAAGCTTGGGAATGCTAAGACTCAGCTGCTGGAATTTCATTCCACCTGATTTCAAACAAGAGCAAAATTAAACTTGACTCCCCAAGTGTTCTACAGAGAACTAAGAACTCCAGCAGCTCAACCTTATGTTCAGGACATCAGGAAGAAGGCATGTGATCAGGTGAAGGAAGGGTGGGCTCTAGAGAGCTGTACCCTTTCCCCTTCCTAATCAAGCAAACTACCTCATGGGAAGCAAGATCTCAAACTCCCTATAGGAAACAACTCAAAATTGTAGGAAATTCTCAAACTACCTTATAGGAAACAACTTCATAAGGAACTGCAAACAAGTTCAACTTACCCAGTGTTCACAGAGTGCGAACTCTGCACAGAGCTTCTTATAGCTCCAGGTTACCACCACCTTAATTACATGCCTTTACCTAAGTGACACTGTTCCATGGTTAGGTCCAAAGAGTAGGGGTCATGAGTGTCAGGAAACTGAAGTAGCACTTCTTGCCTTTGGCGTGAATGAGTGTGGAGATCAGTGGTTCTCAATCAGGAGTGATTTTGTTCTTCCCAGAGGACATTTGGCAATGTCTGGAGACTTTTTTGGGTTGTCTTGACCTGGGTGAGAAGGGGTACTACTGACATCTAGTGGATAGAGGCCGGTGATGCTGTGAAACGTCCTAAAATGCACAGGACAGCCCTCCCACAGCAAAGAAATGTCTGACTCAGCGTCCACAGTGCTGCTGCAGCGATGTCTGACTAGAATTGAAACAAAATTTGCCCATTGAAATTGGGTATTGAGTGAATCGGAGTTCATTATGCTGCTTTGACCATAGCTGTATATGATATGACTTGATTTTCTGTAAAAAAAAAAAAAAATGTATTTTTCCCATATTATTTATTTATTCTGGGCAATCAAATCAAGGATATAAAAATGAAAAGTTTCGTTTTCTTTTTTTTTTCCTTAAATTTATTTTTTTACATTAATTCACTATACATCATTACAGCATACAAATGAATTTTCCATCCAAAATACACTGTATATTGGCTCAATCATGCACATTAACATGCATGTTATCGGCAAATAATTTTCCATTTCTTATGTCTTGTATACTGTTTTTTTGTTTTGCCATCCTTGATTCCCTATCCCTCACCCTCTGCCATGTCCCACCCTCCACCCACATTGTCTCTGGTATCCATGGTTGCTTTCTATCCCTTCCCCCCCCACATTTAATTGATTTGCTAATGAACTTAATTAGTCTAAATATTTCCAATAGCTAGCACAGCTGATATATACCTATACATGAACCCAAGTCTGACTTTAGGCATAAACTTCAGTGAGTAGAATGAACATACTATAAAGTAGTACCTAGCTGGGGCTATATAGCTTACTGCAGTCATCAAATATGCATTTTTTTTTATTTCGATACGAACAGTTT